CCTAGTGTAATGGCCTTAAGGTAGGAGGCCTTGTGTGTTTGAGGAGGTTATTTTGTGTCTAGAGTATTAAGAGGAAAAGAGAGAGTAGCAGGATGAACCCCTTATCAGGAGGGTGCCAGCACATCATTAAGAACCTTCTGAGTTACAGGAATTAGCCTTTGTGATTGTAGAAGCTGAGAACTCCCAAGAGCTACAGTCAGCAAGAAGAGAGACTGAGGAGAGCTGAAGGTACTAGTTCCAGTCAGAAAGCCATCAGGTTTAAGATCTAAGAAGAGCCAACGTTTCAGCCTGAGTCAGGAAGCCTACGACCCATCTCAAATCAGTGCATCAGGGGAGTCCCTCTTGAGGGCAGGAAAGTGGGCCCATTTGTTCTGTCCAGGCACTTAGCAGATTGGGTAAGGCTCATCCACATTAGGGAGGGCAATCTTCTTTACTCAGTCTACCAATTCAAATATCAGTGTCAYCCCAAAACACAACCTCACAGGCACTCCCAGAATAATGTTTGCCCAAATGTCTGGCCACCTCATGGCCTTGTTGATACCTAAAATTAACCATTGCACATAAGTTTCTGGTTGTCCCGGGAAACATGCTTGATAGTTTTGCCTGAAAAGATCAGGGTCATCTCTGCTGATGGTGTCATAATTAAGAGCAACCTACAGGACCCATCCCATATCAATAACTGAAAGAGACAGCTATACACACCAGCTAGCTTCCCCCACCCCCGTTCCCTTTCTCTCTAACTTTGCCTGACTTGATTTATGTGTTTTGGTCTGTGATTCTTTTGTTTCTACCCCTTCTATTTTGGGGCTCAGTTACTCTAGTTTCCAGGTTTATTTCCAGCCAGGACAGGGTTAGCACAAAGGGAGGGCTGATTTTTATCTCTTACCTCCGCTATCCAATTAACATCGGTTCTTGCGCAGCTCATTTCTAGTTTCTTAGGTGTGACTCAGAATCTCTGCTCCTGTGATCTCAAAACCTGGAGCCTTTGCAGTAAGTGGCTTCTCTGTTCTCTATCCCCTTATTTATGTGACTGTGTTTTATTCTTTATTTTCTATCTTGGTTTTTTGGTCTTGGTGCTTGGTTGTCTTGTTTTTCTCTCTAGCCTGAGGTTGGTTAAGGCTGTGGGAAAGACCAGTTCCCATTCCTGCCTGTTTTCCTGGATTCTAGGAGTACTCGTTGAGCATTGGGGATGAGAGGTCTTGGAGGAGAAGGAAATGTACGGAAATTATGGAGACAGTTGGCAGTAGTCACCTTATGGCCTCTCCTCTCTTCAGCTAATTGGTGTCTTCTCACTCTTAGGCAATGCTCTTACTTCATGCAGAATATAAGGTTCACCAGAAATGCCCAGGCTCATCTTCTGACCACAGGTCACACATCTGCCTTTCTCTCTCACTTTCATCAGATATGGATGGAGAATGTTCCCTTCACCTTACATCAAAGGCCAATCTTCTGTCTTTGCTTCGAAACCTATCCCAGTCCCCACTCTCAATTTCCTCCTCTTGTTTGTGTCTCTTTCACCTGAATTTCTAGCCTGACCTCTCTGTTGGATATTAATACTCCTCCCCTCCCTCCTATGTGAAAACAAAGCAGAGCTCTTCTCAACTCTTCATTTCCCATATTACCTTCTGATTCCTTCTGTTGCCAAGCTTCCTGAAGAATTTGTCTATACAGGTTAACTCCACTTCTTTAGTGGATAGGTTACTTCCTATTCTTTCTTGGCTGCATTAAGTTTTATTTTATCAAAATAATAAATGCTTTTGGTTTGCAAGGTCAACTAGCATTTGAAATCTCATGCCCCCCAATAGTCCCCCTCCCTACTATCCTCATCCCTCTTCCCCCAGGCAACTATTTTAGATTTCTAACTACTTCTTCTAACATCTCTGCATTTCTAAGTAGGATGTGTTTACTGCTACCTTAAGATCACAATTATAGGGATTACCTATTGACTTTAGTACTTTCCACCACCATCTTTCCTTTCATTATGGTCATAAATTTTAGTTAGATCAGTATTTGGTGGTTCTATTATTACTTCTAGGTAAACATTATCACATATGAGTGTTATAGTTTGCTATCAAGTTTTCTGATTTTTTTTTTGTTTCCTTATTTTACTTCTGTTTATAGAGTTTTCTGGGGGACTTGTTGCTAGTTTTTCTTCCTCCTGCTAATCTCTCTGTAGGCTCTTTCAGAAGGCTCCTAGCATCAGCTAAACTGCTAAGTCTTTATTCTTTATCTTTTGGAGACATTCTTCCTGGAGAAACCTGTTTCTCTTTCTGCCAGGGCTATTGGGGATTCTCAATTCTCTGGCCAGAGAATTCGATTCCTGTTTTATGGAGTTCCCACCTTCTTCCCTTTTCATTTTGATGAAGCAGATCCTGAAGTAGTTTCACCAGCTTAAAGTGTTATGCTCGAATTCGGGACCCCCAAAGACTACCAGAGACCCAAGATCGATGCAAGCAGCAAAGAGGTGTTTATTGCGAGCTAGCTGGGTCCTCCACGCGCACACACACAGCAACTGGTGACGCTGAGAGGCCCCGAGCCCAGGGTTTGCAGCATTTTTATACATTCTTTGGAGAGGGTAGGGACTTCACATACATCATAGCAAATCATCACACACCGCGGAAAAATCAAATAACAACTCTAAAACATGATTAGCACATTCACTGGCGGGAACAAGTTGGGTAGGGGTGATTGGTCAGTACAAAAGGGGTATTCGTTTGAACTGATTGGTTTAAGCCAAGAGCGGTGTACGTGCTGAAATACATGGTTTCCCAACATGTTATCAACCACCATAAACTACTGGGAGGGTCATCTGGCATCCCAGGTATTTCCCTGACTCCTTCTGATTGGTGGCTGCTAGGGGGCTGCTATGGGTCCCCACCTAGCCTGACTGAGTCAGGGACACCTGGCGCAGCAGATCTCTCTGTTATTTGTAGATAAATAACTTAGCAGGGTGGGAATGTGCTTAGGAGTGCTCTGTGGGTTTTCCCAAGGACAAAGGCCATGTCCCTTCCTTGGACAGGCTTTGCTCTGAGATAGAGGCTGGTTTTTCAAAAGAAATGGCACAACTGCTGACTGTGTGTTGGTGACAATGATCCAGTTCTTTTGTCATCTAGTCAAACTGCTCCAGCCTGGACTGGGGCCAAGTTGTAGAGAGGACTAAAGGTTTCAGGGAGGGACGTGGAGAATCTGGTGGGTTTTCTTTCTCTTGGAGACAGAATGGTTCATGCATTCAGCTCCTCCCTTGTTTCTTAACTTTAGTGTTGGGAGGAATGAGGTCAAGTTTCTCCCTGATGAGCAATTGCTCATGCCACTGACAGATGTTTCTGCCTCACAAAGCCTTAGCAAGGTCCTTCATCTCTTCTAGCTCCACATGCACTAGGCCTGTTAGGAATCAAAGGGTGGGCACTGGGGTGGTCACACCTATATTTTAAATATGAATACCACCAGTGGATTAGTAGGTTTTGGCCAAGAAGACCCAGGCTTGGCCTGTAGGGCTGTCTGTTTACTATCAAGGGTCTGTTCCAATTCTCCTCAGCACCTTGTTTGTTGGGCTTCTCTCCAGGGAGCTGAGTCATCCCTGTCTCACCTCCAGCTCCCCAAGTCTGAGCTGAGGTAAACAGGCTGGTATGGAATCTTCTTGGCACATTCTGGTGTTGCCTTCTCTTCTTTCCTGGATTAGCTTTGCTGATATTAGAGCTTTGTAGAGGAACCTTGAGTCTTCTCATGTAGGCTGAGGCTTTGTGGTAAGTAGTTTCTGCTCTCCCAGACTGGCCTATGACCTGTAGCCCATGTCCCTTGTATCTTAACATATTCCTAACATTTTCTGTCTCCTATTGATAATGTAGTCAGAATGCTGATATTTGAATCTCAGTAGCCCTCACTGTTCCCAGATACTCTTGTGGGCATTCTCTGACATCATACGCCTGAGGTGGATTTCCCCTTTGGCCTTAGATAACAGGTATAATTCTGGATTCTAAAAGCTTTTTTGTTAATTGTTGCTTTCTCTTCTTTCAAAGACCTCTGCCCTGCCTACATTTTAGTTCCATATTTTAAACATTCTTAAAAATCCTACTCTTCTTTCTCTGATACTTGAGAATCTATAAGTCTTTCTAGTTTCTAGTAGTATTTAGCCTAAATTCTGTTTCTGGGTCTGCCTTCCATGTCTTTTGAGTTCCTCTGTCTCCTTCTACTCAGTCCTAGACCACAGTGTAAATCCTGTCTCTTTGCTCAGTGGTTTACCTCTGGAAAACTCTGAAAGATCATTTCTCTCTGACTGCCAAATTTCTCCTCTGGAATAATACCTGGGTCAATTTCTGTGATAATCAAAAAGGATAATACATGTAAATTATTTGGCACAAATTAGGCACACAAGAGTGCCCATTCCTCTTCTTATTATTTAAACTTGTCCCCTCGTCTGAATTGGAAGACCTCCAGCTTTAGAACCTGTGAGTGACCAAGTCCAGGAGGCTGATGTGTGAGGGCTGGTGGAATGATGGGTGGACACTCCTTACCTTCTTACTGCCCCTCAGCTGTCCCAGCAAATGTGCACCATTTGAACATTCACACGATCAGGAATAGGTTGACTTTTAAAACTTAAAAAAATCTAAAAATAATTTTTTTTTCTGAACCCATCTGTTCAGAAAGATGAGAGAGGCAGGAGAGAGGCAGAGGTGGCGACTGGAAGAAAGGAGGGGAGAGGGAGAGACACAGGAGGAACATCTCCACGTACCTACCTGGGTTCCAGCAGACACGATCACACATATTGTCTGACCCAGAGGCAGGGGAGAATGACTAGACGGATTCCTCCTGCTAGCTCACTCACTCCTCTTTCTTGGAAATTTGCATGTATCACCTCTCTTCCTTGTCTCTGCTGCACAGCTTGCCAAGCGCACAGGAAGCCAGGCGGTGAGGGGCCTTCGGGTCTCTCCTCCAGTGGTGGACCTCTCCTCTCCACACCCTCTCCAGGTCGCTGGTCTGAACTTGACCTTCACCTCCCATCACCATGGCCTCAGCCCTGGCCCGCAATCCTCGGGAGGCATTGCTTTGGGCCTTGAGTGACCTCGAGGAGGACAATTTCAAGATATTAAAGTTCCACTTGCGGGATGTGACCCTGGCTGAGGGCCAGCCCCTCTTGGCCAGAGGGGAGTTGGAGGGCCTGAGTCGGGTGGACCTGGCATCTCGACTGATTTTAAAGTGTGGAGAACAGGAGGCTGTGAGAGTGGTGCTCAAGGGCTTGAAGGCCATGAACTTGTTGGAACTCGTAGATCAGCTCAGCCACATTTGTCTGAATGGTGAGTGTGGTGGGGGAAAGGGAGGTCATGTGGTGCCAGAACTGTCCCCCCGGGGTACTTCCACAGACTCCCATAGTCTATAATTCATGCCTCCTTTCACTCTGCCCTCCGTCCTTGAGAGTCCCCTGTGCCCCAGGGTCCCAGGTGGTCTCCAGCTGAGGGCTCCCACAAATGCTGGGCGAAGCTCCTGAGTGGACAACAGGGGTTTATTTATAGAAAGACCCTCATATCTTATGACCATGATACCCTACCTCTTACCTCCCTTCGCTGTGCCAGAAAAGGAGGGAGAGAAGAAAGGGGCTTAGATGGGAGAGGCAGTGTTGGTGAAGGTTTTTCTACTAAGCAGAACAAATGGTGTAGGTGTGGAGTCAGACCTGTCTCTTGCTGCTTCTTGGCAGAGGGCTAGGCTGCTCCTCACAGAGGACAGTCTTCTGTGCCCCTGCGTTCAAGGAGCTGGTGGACTGATGCCACCCTGTAGAGTAAGGTCGGCGTATGGCTAAATAGCGGCTTGTTCCTGATGATGGGGTGCTAGGGGGAGGGAAGGATCATTGGTACCTGTGTTCTCTCCCACAGGCTCCCTTCACTGCTGAGAACTCCTCTACTTTATAGAAATAGGAGGGAAGGGGGACCCAAAGTCGTGGCTCCATCTCAGAAACTGTTTTGCATTTAGCATCCGGTCCATCCTCCACTAAAATCGTGCTCCTGTTACTTTACCAACTGCGAGTTCCCTTCCCTTTTCTCTCTTTGCCTTCACCTCTTCCCATGGGGACATTTGCCATGAACGCTCACACAGGCATGCATGCACGTGCACGTGTGCACGCGCGCGCGCGCACACACACACACACACACACACATTGTCACACAGACTTTTGGAGTTACAGTATTGCTGATGCACATTGACATGACTTCCCTGCACAATACAGAAGCTTCCATCGGCACATTCCCATGAACACATGTGGAAACAGGCGTGCACTCAGACCCCACAAATGTTCATCCACAGAACACACTCAGACAGATATGTACACACACACACACACACACAAATACATGTACAGTAGTCCATCTCCTGTGAAACCAGAACTCTTGTCTTCTACAAGACTGAAGAACTGAGTTAGAGTTTGAAGGGTACATTTCCCCTTTTTACTTTCTGTTTCCTCATCTGAAACCTCTCTTGTCTGACTCAGATTACAGAGAAATATACCGAGAGCGCTTGCGCGGCCTAGAGGAGAGCCAAGAGTGGGGAGTCAACCACAGCTACAACCAGCTGCTCCTGGTGGCCACACCCAGCTCAGGGGACCCGGGATCACCTCCCAGCCCAGACCTGGAGCAAGAGCTGGATTCTGTTACAGTGGAGGCTTTATTTGATCCGGGGGAAAAGCCCTCCCCTGCCCCATCCTTAGTGGTGCTACAAGGCTCTGCTGGTACTGGAAAGACAACCCTGGTGAGAAAAATGGTGCTGGACTGGGCCACTGGTACCCTGTACCCAGGCCGGTTTGATTATGTCTTTTATGTGAGCTGCAGAGAAGTGGTCCTGCTGAAGGGGTGCAAACTGGAGCAGCTCCTCTTCTGGTGTTGTGGGGATAACCAAGCCCCTGTCAGAGAAATTTTGAAACAGCCAGAGCGGCTCCTGTTCATCCTGGATGGCTTTGATGAGCTACAGAGGCCCTCTGGACAGCTGGGGAAGAGGGTGGCGAGTCCCATGGAGAACGTGCTGCGCCTTTTGATTAGGAGACGGTTGCTGCCCACATGCTCCCTTCTCGTTACCACTCGGCCCCCTGCTTTGGGGAGTCTGGAGCCCATGCTGGGTCAACGGCGCCATGTTCATGTTTTAGGTTTCTCTGAGGAGGAGAGGAGGCAGTATTTCAGCTTCTATTTTAAGGATGAAGAGCCAGCCAGACATGCCTTTGAATTTGTACAAGGAAATGAGGTTCTCTACACAGCGTGTCAGGTTCCAGGCATCTGCTGGGTGGTCTGCTCCTGGCTGAAGGAGCAGATGGAAAGAGGCCAGGCAATCTCAGAGACACCCAGGAACAGCACTGACATCTTCACTGCCTACGTATCCACCTTCCTGCCCGCTGAWGACAGTGGGGGCTCCTCTGAGCTTACCAGGCACAGGGTCTTGAGGGGTCTGTGCTCCTTGGCCACTGAGGGGATCGAGCATCAGAGGTTCCTATTTAAAGAGGATGAGCTCAGGAAGCACAATTTAGACGGCTCCAGGCTTGTTGCTTTCCTGAGCAGCAGCAATTACCAAGAGGAACTTGACATCAAAAAGTACTACAGCTTCCGCCACATTAGTTTCCAGGAATTTTTTCATGCAATGTCCTATCTGGTAAAGGAAGGCCAAAGTCAACTGGGGGAAGCATCCTCCAGAGAAGTGAAAAGACTGGTGGAAGCAAAGGAGCAGAAAAAGAATGAAGAGATGACCCTCAGTACGCAGTTTTTATTGGACATATTGAAAAAAGAGAGCTACTTGACCTTGGAGCTTAAGTTCTGCTTTGAAGTTTCTCCCTCCATATTGCAGGATCTTATGCATTTTAAAGAACAAATGGAATCTATAAAGCACAAGAGGAGTTGGGAATTTGAATTCTCCCTGTATAATACCAAAATAAAGAATCTTTCAAAAGTTGTTCAGTTGAATGACATCCAAGTCAAGTTGTCACATTCAAATGAAAGGAAATTACCTACCGGGAAGCTGTTTTCTGTCAAAACCAGATTGGATAAAGGACAGAAAGTGGAAAAAAAATGCAATCCTGAGGGTGAATGCAGAGGGACAGAGGAACTAGACTCAGAAGTTAGGAGCAGCAGGATGGAAAGCAGGAAAAAGGGGGCAGTGGAGATGAAGGGTCAGAAGGATCATGGGATGGAGAAACAGGAGGATGGGGAAGGGCAGAGTGAAAAGATGGAGAAATGAGAGATGAGACTAAGGGGTAGCAGAAAGAGTGAAGAACAGAGAAACAAATAGAGAATTAGATTGCTGAGGGTCTGAAGGCTTGGCATAGCATCTGGGGAGAGGCCAGATGTGATCTGAGTCCTTAGGAACAATCACCTTTTACCATGGATAGCTGATTAGCACCCCTTCCTCAAGGGGCTGTTTATGACCTTCTATAGTGTGGTCATAAACAGTAGCTTCTTATATGTTAATGCCAATGACCAAGGCTTTGATTCTGACATCTGATTCTTTAAAAATAAAATAAGCTACTTAAAATAATAAAGTGTGAATTGTGTGCATTCTGTAAGACACCGGCAAATTTGGAGCATATCTGTGTCTGCACTTTAAGGGAAATATACTGTGGCATAATGGGATGTCTCTCTGGCTCTGTATTTGTGGTCAACTCCTGCTTAAGTAAAGAGCAACCTTCTTGTTCTTTTTAGAAACTTTGAAAATTTACATTTGTTGAACATGAGCCACTGCTTTTCACAGACATCAACTTTGATCTTGGAAGCTCTACTGTGACTTAATTTAATACCAATCACATGTCACTGTCATCTGCAGCTGTGTCATTAACTGACTTTTCTTTTTGCAAAGATTTGTCTGTTCCATGAATTGAGTGATAGTATCTTTTTCTGATTTGGATTCCTCTGTAGAAGAAAAGGAGGATTAAGAGATTCTAGGCGGAAGTATGATCAACTCYGCATGCTCATTTCATGGAGGAGGAAACTGAGGTACAGTCAAGAACCCTATTCATTTCTAGGATTCCTCAGAGAGATTTAATGGTTCCCAAACTTCAGCTAATAGTGTAGAGATCTCAAAGTCTCTGTGCAGGCACTGATCCTACCCCCATCCTTGTGTTTGTTGCTGACCCCAGTGTGGCTGTGATAGGTCCACCCAGGCCCTACAGTGAAGCTACAGGTGGTCCTCTTTTTACTTTTAACACGTTTTTATTGCTGTCAGGGCTTCCCACATGTGATTCCACATGTTTTGACTCCAGCCATCTGTTAGACATGCCCAGAAATCTGACTCCAAGGGAACTCAGTCTTGAGTGGTCAATCAATTTGAGAATTGATGACACTAATTATTACTATTTATTCTCCACACAGGAAATTTGGTGGCTTGACATTTGATAATTATTTATAATGACACATTGAATACATGGATCAGGTGTAGATASAAAACATGTCTTACAAAATGGTGTAAGTGTATTTGCATGTATTTAGAGAGCAATTTGTTTTGGATTTCCAAAGCAGCAGATTAGCACCCATTGACTGAGGCTGAGTGGCCTTCTAAAGGACTCAGATGTTCTTAGAAGATCAACCTCTGAATGTCCCTGAATGTCTTGGAGAAGTTGGGAATAAAATAGTGCTCAACCACATCCTGAGTTTTTCTTGGAGCCAGGAGGCCTTTTTTAAGAAACATGAATCTAACATCTAATTGGGGATTAGACATGTTACAGTATTTCACTTAAGATTCATATTAATTTAAAATTAAACAAAAATTAAATGACCCCAAACTTTCACTAAAAACAAACAAACAGGGCTGGGGTTGTTATTCAGTGGTAGAACGCTTGCCTAGCATGCTTGAGGCCCTGGCTTTGATCCTCAGCACCACACTAAAAATAAATAAACAAAATAAAGGATTGTGTCCATCTATAACTAAAAAAAAATCAAACAAACAGCCATCTGATTTCTGGTTTGGGATATGGCTGGTTCTTTCTAACAATGTCATCAGGGCTTACCCTAGTCTCTCTGCTGCTGCTTTTATAGTTGCTTTTAACCCTTATTCCAGACAGCCACTTTTATGCATCAGAGAAGATGGCATCTGAGCTCAGTTTAAACCATCCTTACAGCCAACAATTCCAAAGGAAGAGAATATTTTTTATAATGGCTCTATCAGGGAAGTTAGGGGAGGATTCTGACCTGCYCCTGGGTAGGAGCCAAGCTTAAACACTGTGGCCTGGAAGTTGGACTTCCCTGACCAGCTAGAACTGGATCTCCTAGCTCAGGTCACTTGATCATATCTTCTGGATAAATGGCCATAACCCTAGGGCTGAATGAGAAAGGATGGCTTATCAAAGGAAGGCATTCTGGGTAGTCAAAATACATGTCACATAGATACAAATGTGGAATGAATTGGGGTTCCTTGAGGTYTAGGCTGGGCAGAAGGGGTAAGAAGGATTCCTATGTGTAGAAGTCTGGAAAATGGGTTAAACCAGGCTACTCAATGTGGTGATTAAAAGGAGGAGTGATTCCTGGTGCAGAGAGGCTGGGCCCCCCATTCCTTGCTTAGATTCCCTCTGGGTGRTAGGGAGAGAGGTGGCCATGATCAAAAGGAAGAAACTCTGTCCTTAGGGAACAACTGTGGGACTCCCTTATGAAAAAATGGGATTCCAGAGTGGCATGTGAAAGAAGGTTTCCAAAAGAAATATGATTAAATTTGAATTTCAGAGAAACAGTGAATATATGTGATATGTGTGGTCTCTCTCTCTCTCTCTCTCTCTCTCTCTCTCTCTCTATATATATATATATATATATATATATATATATATATATAATTTATTTATTTATTTGCAGGTGCATACTTATAATAAAAATGATTTGTTGTTTATCCAGATTTCAAAGTTCAAGTGTAACTAGGCATCCTGTATTTCTATTTGCTCCATCTGGCAATCCCTAAGTGGAGGAGATTTAGTAGTAGAGTAGGCAGCAACTATGAGCCACAGGAGTAAGACATCCATGGTTGTGGCTTATGTTAGTCAGCTTTATGTTGCTGTGATCAAAATATCTGGCAGGGACAATTTAGAGGAGAAAAAAAATATTTTGGCTTATGGCTTCAGAGATTTAGTCTGTGGTGGGCTGACTCCATTTCTCTAGGCTCAGAGCSAGGCAGCACAGCATGGGGGAAGGATGTGGAGGAAGGAAGTTGCTCAGAACCTGGTGGCCAGAAGAGGCAGCAGAGAAGATGAACCTTTCCAGGGCATGCCCTTAGTGACCCACCTTATTCCACCRTGTTTCACCTGCCTAGAGTTACCATCCAGTAAGACCATTGAAACTAGGAGGAAGTGATTAGGTTAAAGCTCTCATTATCTAATCATTTTCCTCTGAATGTTTCTTCATTGACACAAGAGCTTTGGAGGGACACCTCATATCTAAATCACACATGGTTCTTATTGTTCCCCAGAGCTTTTACCTCTCTATTCCCTGAAGGATGGAAAACAACAACCCCCAGGAGGAAAGAGAACAACAACCCCCAGAGAGAAAGGAGGACAATGGGTCTGGRGCAGGGGGGACAGGAGAAGGCAAACAATGGGCTCTGGACTTCCACCATTTCCCAGCAACAATGAACTTTGAACTTTCACAACTGCTTCCTCTGACTGCCCAACTGATGCATTCTGCTATGATTCAAGTCTCACTTAAACCCTATAAAAATCAGACCCCTCTTGTAACCAGTTGACATTTTCTCTCCTAAAAATGTGCTCCTCCAGCAGTTAATAAAGCATCAACAGTCCATCGAGGTCTGTCCCTGTGTCAGTTATTTTTTGCTATCATTATTGTGTTGAAACCGGGTGTGGGAGTAAGGGGTCTTTATCCCTTCCTGTCCTAAGGAACCTCTTCCCTAACAGTCATGTTAAATGGCTGATGAGACCTGGAAAATGACCAGTGATCATCCAGCRCTCCTGTGGTAATCTTAGTTTGGGGAAGCTCCCAGCCACTGCTTGCACAGCTATAGCTGAATTCCCAGAATGACTGCCCCTCTCTTCCCCCCAGCCTTTATAGGAGACCCTTCACACTCTCTGCAGTCTACTTTGACTAAACAGTGGCTGTTACATGACCTGAAACTGGCCCCATTTTTGGGCTATATTTTTACTGCCTTATTGCTATGTGAAGGAGCAAGGATCTGTATTGGGTCCTTTATTGGATTTGGAGGCATCCTCCTTCTAATCCTCTCCTTTCCAATTCCCCCCTGTACTTAGACCTCTTCCTTGCACTTAAAACCTCTGGATAGAGTCTGCTTTTTGACATTTCGTTTCTGCATGCGACACCAGCCTTCCTATTCTTCAGAGAAGTAAGATTCCTTGGAGGCTCTCAAAGAGGCAACCTGCCTAAGACCTCTGCCTTTGGCTTGTCTGGACACAGGGGTCCCCGTACCACAGAGATTGTATCAGGGGACACCCTCTCATTCTTTGGTGGAACTGCTCCAGTGATGATAGACTTCAAAGGATGCTTTGATYTCAACTGCCATCCTGGTTAAATTTCTCCATCCTGGGAGCCCCCATTCCATAGGACTCCCCCTTAGGTTATTTCATAAATTATTTTAAGAACCTCTGCCTCATTAACTTTAGTACTCGGATCTGGCCACAGTATAAATTAGACCCCTAATTCCATAGTCCAAATTCAGAATTTGGGAACTTTGATCCAAAATTTTTCCAAAATTTAGACAATTTTTCTCCATCGAAATGACAAATGGTCTGAGGTTTCCTACCTCCAAGCTTTCTCTTACCTTCACTCATAGTGTTCATTAARCCAGCCCTGCTCTGCTCTACAATTAATTCTCACTGACTCCCCATTCCATAAGCCCCCTAGATAAGGTCCTGACCCCCAGCCCTCTTCTTAATTTAAAGTCAAAAGTTGGGATGGATTCCCCATCACCCAGGTGTTGGGAATGTTGATCCTGACTTGCTTCAGTTTCTTTTCTGTGCGAGAAATTTGGTGTTGGACAGAGAAAGGTTTGGGACAACTGAAGGCAGCTGGCCAGGGCCACTCCCTGGTGCCACTTGAAGAGCTCATGTCCYGAGTCTGACCCTGACAGCCCTCAGGGGGTACAAATATCAACTATCAGCCTTTTTTTTTCTGACTGCTTCTGCCCCAATTCTGTCCATATTGTCTGCCTCTTAAACAGGGACTCATATGAGAGATTTTCAAGATAGAGCTATTCTAACTTTAAAATCAGATTCCTCTCATCTGGCAAGAAGAWGA